TAACTGGTAGTTTACATGACTCAGTGCCTGGGCATTACGGGAAAAAGTTAATTAAGCAAGATTAATTAATATGCTTGATGTCAGGATACCTAAATCACACGTATTCATATGGCTCTGTGTGAGTATTGCTTAGTACAAATACATACTATTAGACTGTATTGATTAATGAGCATGCAAACCAAAGGTTGCAAAACATCTTTGTTTTTCAAAGCTGGTTTCGTTCATGATCAAAAGTGGTGATCATCTTTTAAAGTGCAGTACATTCACTTTGAAGCATAATCCACAAATGGTTAGTTATATTTTCCTTTTGGCTGCAGCAAGGATCTGGAGGAGGGATAAGCTCCTTAAAAGCTGAACTGGCTTTGAGACAAGAGTTTTGTAATAGGTCAAACAAGCCAAACAAATCAAACAAACGAAAAGTGGTTAGCCAGCTCCAGAGGCAGTTGCACCATTGGGACAAGATAGACATCGAGGCAGAAAGGACTGAATAACAGGCAGAAAAAGCGAATTAGTTTAAACTTCCATCCTAGAGACAAAATCAGCAAATAAAGCAGGTTTTTCTGGCACTCGCTGGACCGGGTTTGTCTTGCAGTCGTCAATAATGCCTAGCAGGCTTGTAGTGCAGACTTAAAGCACAGGCTTCGTTCACAGAGCTAAGAACTTGTAGGCTGGCAAAAAGTGTTCGTGGTGAGATCCTAATTACCAGAAGCTTTTGAGAGTTATGTGACAAAGGAGCACTCCCAGTTGTCCTTCAGCAATCAAACCATTATTATCAAGAGGTTGTAATTGCATAATACCTTGATGTCTCCTCAATACTTATGTGGATGTGGAACTTCCCTTTCAACCCAGTTGTTTTTCTGAAACTTAGAAGTGATTGAAAAGAGAGCGAGTAGCACTACTTTGGATCACTTTCTGGACATGCTCATCTTTACTTGCTTGATCTGGATTGCTTGAGTTTTGAAAAAGGAAGGTGGGCAATATATTTGGAAATAGTCAAATTTCATTCTGAGTCGCATTTTATGCTGGAATCAGCAGGACAGAGAGATGAATAGGTTAATTGTCTGGAAAATAGCTTTTTCAGAATTAAGTTCAGGACACTGTTTTATTTCAGGATTCTCCTCTTTTGCAGACAGCAAGTGGCCATGTGTCCTTTTTAATTATGAACAGTTTTGCCATTTGGAGGACTTCTTTTTTGTAGGTAATAATCTCCTGGAAGTTCTTTCCTGTTCAGATGTCAACCCCAAGAAACACTGAATAAAGAAAAGCAGAGACCTGAAATTTCCCAGCATAGTTTGCACCCATTTCATACAATAAGCAGTAAGCACCCAACTTTTCTGGTTACAGACACAGACTTTTCTGCTATGGCATGTTTGCTATTATTTTATATTTATAATTATAATTTCTAGATTAACCGATCCATTCACTGATGAGTAAGATCTATAAGGAAATCGGTTTCTTCTTCTGTAGAAACTGCACAAACAGTTAAATGGAATGACATCAACTATAAGGAAAGGAGATGTGATTAAGAAATTGATAGTTTTACTGAGAAATCCTTCAAAAGTAATGGTTTGTTTATTCAAAACATCCTATTGAATTACATTTTCAACTTGAATGCAAACTATGAGTGATGCTTAGAGACCAATTATTATTATTTATTTCAAAATGGAGCTGTGAACCCAGGTTATATAGATTCACCTCAGCTGAAGCCATTTTGGACAGACAAAAGGCTTCTATGATATACCTATTCTCTAACACATCTCCTCTGTGATAATCTCCTTGCCTTCTTCTTTTTTCTTTTCTTCCTCTCACTCCCCCTCCCCGAATCTTTATCACATCTATGATGCAAAATTTCTGGCTCTTTTCGGTCATTCAGGAATGTGTTCCTTTGAATCAAGAGTTAAAGTCTTTCAATAATAATAATAATAATAATAATAATAATAATAATAATAATAATATGGTGATGATGGTGATGATGATGATGATGATGATGATGATATAAACAGAATTATGTGGTTGCCTAGTGGTGAAGATGCTCATGTCCCACTTGGAAGGTTGAGAGTTCAATCCTAGGCAAATCCTAGGCAGATGTTTCTCTCCAGGGTACAAAGAAAAAAATATCTGCTGTGAATGCCCATATACGTTTAATTTTTTTTATTAGGAAGCACCATGGAAATATTTGTAGTGGAAGTAACTGTATATAGTTACTTTATCTGTACATGACATTCTCACACCTGCAGTGGCTTCCTCATTCCCTGCCATGGAAAAAAAATCTGTGTTCAACCTTTGAAATAAGTGGAAAAACTATTACGAGTGTCAAGCAGGTTTGCATAAGACTGATAAAGCATTGGGTCAACTGATTAAAAATACCGTATATGCCGGCGAATAAGACGACCCGGCGTATAAGACGACCCCCCAACATTTCCACTCAAAATATAGTTTGTTATATACTCGCCCCCTCTTCCGCACGCCTTCCACTTTTGCACTTTTTTTTTTTGAGGCATTTTTGTGCACCGTGGAAACGAATCCCGTGAAGCCGAAAGGAGCAGCCAGCCTTCTCCCAGCTCCCAAGGAAACGAGGCTCGCACCGCCCGGGCTCCGCTGAGGTATCCGGCTGGGGCTGTCAGGAGTTGTTACCGCTGGCGCGGCTCCGCGCGGCTCCAGTCCCGCGTTGCCTCGGGAAGGGAAAGGCAAAACCAGGAGCCGCGGCGGCGCTTTGCAATGGCAGCAGCGGCTCCTGGTTTTGCCTTTCCCTTCCCGAGGCAACGCGGGACTGGAGCCGCGCGGAGCCACGTCAGCGGTAACAACTCCTGACAGCCCCAGCCGGATACCTCAGCGGAGCTCGGGCGGTGCGAGCCTCGTTTCCTTGGGAGCTGGGAGAAGGCTGGCTGCTCCTTTCGGCTTCACGGGATTCGTTTCCACGGTGCGCAAAAGTGCCTCAGCCGCGGGCAGCCGCAGTGCTTCCCAATTACTATTTGCCGGCGTATAAGACGACCCAGCATATAAGACGACCCCCCCAATTGGAGGCATGTTTTTCAGGGCAAAAAAGTCGTCTTATACGCCGGCAAATACGGTAAATGAGTTTCCTAAGGTAGCTGCAACTTTTTTTTCAGATTTGTATACAGTCTGAAAACGCTGGGCTACCTTATGAAGAGTATTGTATTTATGTAAGACACAAAGAGATTGGACTGCCATTTGTCAGAAATGATGTAGGGTCTCCTGCTTGGGTGGGGGGGGGTTGGACTAGATCAGGGGTCGCCAACCTTTTGGACCTCAGGGACCACCAAACTCATAATTTTAAATCCCGCAGACCAGAGACCCTGGAAAAATCCCCAAAAAAGTCTGCAGGAAAATTCCCCACCCGATTTTCCTACTGATCTATCATTCTTTATTTGGGATCGCAGGATACCGTCTCCAGCTCTGTTCTCAGGGGAAGAGAGAAAGAGAGAGAGAGAGACTTTTGGCTTCATGCAAGGAAAGCACCAGAAGCAGCAGAAGTCTTTCTTTCTCTTCCCCAAAGTCCTCCAGAAATGAGTCTTTGTGAGACTTGTCACGCCAGTGCAGCCTCTTGGAGTAGGATGCCTTGCAGGATCCCAAAGATTCATTTCTGGTGGAGTTTGGGAGAGAGAAAGAAAGACTTTTGCTGCTTTTCTTGCGTGCAGCCAAAGGCAGCAGAAGAAAGAAGCGGAAAGCAGTAGCCCGGTGGCCAGGCAAGGCGTGTGGCGTGAGTGGGGCAAGTTCCCCTCTTCTGCCATTTCCCCCCTTTCCTCACTACCTCATGTTGTTCGCAATGCAAGCGACACAAGTCTTCTGCGGTGCAGCCTTGTGTTCCCCGCAGCCTGGATTAATTGCTTTGGGGGGTGTTTTGGGGGTGACGTTTCTCTGTGGACCACCAAAATTTTCTCATGGACCACCAGTGGTCCTCGGCCCACTGGTTGGCGACCACTGGACTAGATGACCTACAAGGTCCCTTCCAACTCTGTTAATCTGTAAAAAGCACTTTTTCCAATCATTTTCAAATTGTGCATAGGTCTGTTAAATACTGGAGAAATCAAAAATTTTGGACATAGAGGCCACTGCCTATAAAGAGCTTAATTTGGTACCACAAAATACATTAAGAGCTCCACTGTTTACAAAAAGCACTAGAACAGTGCTAGGAGATTTGGGATTAAACCATCATTATCACCTTTGTTCTTTGCATATATTAATGATGTTACATGCTAATAAATTGTCTGTATTTGCACCATATACTCAGTATGATTACTGAATTAAGCCAATTTTGAGTTTACAGGTAGTCCTCAATCACAATCCAAAGTGTACTGAAGATGTCTCTTCAAATAGGGATGAAATATATGTATATTTATGTGTATGTATGTATAGAGCATGTGTATATGTGTGTTATGTATGGGTATGGGTAAATATATACTTTCTTTTGAGAGCAGGCAACAGAATTTCATTTTTAATGTATGCCAGTGATACACAAAAATGACAATAAAGGTTATCTTATGTTTTATAATCTGCGTGTGAGATAGGCCAATACAGGTAGTCCTCGATTTACAACATTTTCACTTAGTTACTGTTCAAAGTTACAACGGCACTGAAAAATGTGATTTATGACCATTTTTCACAGTTACACCCTTTGCAGCATCCCCACAATCATGTGATCAAAATTCACATGCTTGGCCATTGATTCATATTTTTGACCGTTGCCATGTCCCAAGGTAATGTGATCATTTTTGGCAACCTTCTGACAAGCAAAGTCAATGGGGAAACCAGATTCACTTAACAACCAGATTAACAATTGATCGACTGCAGTGATTCACTCAATGATTCTGGCAAGAAAGGTCATAAAATGGGGGGAAATTCACTTAACAACAGAAATGTTGGCCTCAACTGTGATTGTAAATCGAGAACTACCTGCATTCAGATATTGGGTGAATATTAAACTGATGTTGCATGGCTGAGAGTTAATCTCTCCCCTTTCCCCTTCCTTTTTTAAATAGTTCATGACAAAGAACCCTAAAATGCGACTTGGCAGTAGTGCCTTGGGGGGAGAGAAGGCAATTCTCCTGCATCCATACTTTCAGGAACTGGATTGGGACCTGCTAAACCAGCGCCAGATTGAGCCACCTTTCCGACCTCGAATCGTAAGTGTTTAAAATGGTGAGGGGTGTGTGTGTATTGGTCCATGCAAGGACAGATCACATCCAGTAAAGGAATACATGCATTATATGCAAAATATATAATGGTTCAATCTGAGTCCAGCCAATATAGTAGAGAAATGGAATAGTACATACTTGATCTGAGGTGACTTCTTTGACATTTCCTTTCCTTTCTTTCTTCCTTTCTTTCTTCCTTTCTTCCTTCCTTCCTTCCTTCCTTCCTTCCTTCCTTCCTTCCTTCCTTCCTTTCTTTCTTTCTTCCTTCCTTCCTTCTTTCTCTCTCTTTCTTTCTTCCCTCCCTCCCTCCCTTCCCTTCCTCTCCCTCCCTTCCACCTTCCTCTCTCCTTTCTTTCTTTCTTTCTTTCTTTCTTTCTTTCTTTCTTTCTTTCTTTCTTTCTTTCTTTCTT